TATCTATCTATCTATCTATCTATCTATCTATCTATCTGTATATATATATAACGATTTAAGTAGGTAAATACATTGATATTTTGGTGGATTATGCAGACTGGCCCACGTGTTACAGACAATCACGCATGAGGTCACTCCACTCCCTCTCAGGCCGATAGTTTTGGGTGTGACTCGTTTCTTCAACCAATCGTCAAGCGAGCGGAAACAATTTTTTTCGTTCATTCATGCAGGCTTTTGATTTTGAGGCTCCCTTTCAACTTGGCGTTTTTTCTGTTTGACTCGCAGTATGGACGTTAATCTACACCTTATCCGCACTATTCAATTCAACTGCTAGTGGGCACATAAATGCTTCCAGCACGTCTGTCAGGTATATGAAACTATTTGTATCCGTTTACCTTACTTGACATTTTCACTGAAGGCCTGATTCGACCGCGCCCCACCAGCTTCTGTGTTCTTTAAAGCGCGGCCCATATGGATCTCAAAAGCGCCCACTGATCTTTCCAATCCGAGTAACCAAGTCACCTCAAAGAGTCGAACGGATAGGCCCTCATTCAGTTTAGGCTAAGTTGTCTTTCAGGATCACTGTTGAATAGCAATGGAAAGTATAGTTTGTCAGACTCTGTGGCGATGTCCGCTTCGCCCACGCTCATTGTAGTCAACTGAGCCTAAAAGCTGTTGAAATGCTTAGTTAATTGGAACAAAGGGAGAAAACAGTACGTACAGATACTGAAGTTAGAATGACATTGCGCCCTACGAAAAGTACAACTTGGTATGCATCAAAAAACCACCAAAACCAGAGCCGCATTCTCTTGTAATATAAATAGATTTAGTAGTGTTTGACCAGACGTCACTCCCTATCATCATCATGCGAACGTTCTACCAATCTTGAGTAGCATTCATTGCGACGGCGAGTTAAATGTGTTCTAATGGAAGGATTGGGTCGAATATTCGTCAACCGTGTCACACTATTTGTTGATTCCTTCAATGAATCAACGACAATCAGTAGTCTACTCATCAGTAGCATAATTAGAGGTTCCGATTTGAATCCTGGCGGCTCTTTACCGAATTTTCTGCCTCACTTAAGGCTCGCTTACTCTCTGGTAACTAGTGCAGAGATTTTCTTGCTCATCCGGTTGTGATTTCGTCTCGCGTCTACCCTTTTTTGAGTGTCTGCTTCGAGGGGGTCGAACTGTAAATCTCTCGGGTGTCAGAGGAATGCGTAATGCACTACTCATTCAGTTGCCCGGAAACATCACAAACGAGAGATTCAGCTGGGTTCTAGGTGATATTTGTTTTCAAATGAGTGTATTTCTTTCCCCCTTTTGTTTTCATGAGTTTGCTGAAAAGTCTGCTGTCACATCTCCTGGATAATCCATTGATTGAAGTGACTGCGATATTTGACAGATATATATTACTTGAAACGCAAGAAAAACTCCATTCGAACAAACCTATTACCAGGGTATACCTACTACAGTGCCAAAGTGTACAGATGTAGTTGGAGTGATGATTGACGGAGTGCAGTCAATCTGAATGACATCATTCATGTAGAATTCTACCAAAAAACTCGCTAGAAGGAAAATAAACGCTGCGGTGATTGAAGGTTTGTCCAAGCTGGACTATCTACGAGGCCAGGTTAACCGTTAGACCAGACTTGCGTGCCAGTTTGTTCACAGAGACTATCAGGTTCGCTCAAATTAGAGTGAGTTCAGGAGCGGCTGTCTGTCCATCATCGGGAGAGAAAACTGGTGGGCACAGCTGGGTGGTCACTAATACGGGGGGAAGGGTGGTTTGTATATACGTGCAACAGGTGGCCTATTGAATGAGCTGGCAATCAGATCAGAATCAAAAAAGGAGCATTATTAGAAGGATGATCAAAATTTGTCGACAGTCCGCCAATGGTTTGGCCCTGTTTGAGCCTCACCGCATGGGTACAAGACTCGACATTCTGTGAGATTTCTCTTGATTGGACAACAAGACGCCCAAATACGGAATGAAGGCCAGCGAACACAATAAGCCAACAGTAGAATCAAACTTGGGCTGTCATGATTGACTGGCTGAGTGTGCAGTTGATCGGTAACAGTTAGAGGAAGGTGCGCAGATTCGTCAGGTGATGCGAGAGATGAAGCTGCTGAAATCTGATTCGCAACTGAGGCCACGTCATTGCTCGAATGTCGTTGGGTCCATGAACGCCGGTTAACACGTAAATCAGTAAATACCTTCGTCGTAACACTACATAGCATAGTTGTGACTGCTCGGTGCCTGGTCTCAGCTCAAACATGTGATATATACAAACAGTCGTTCCACGCTTTAGACGAGATTGTGCAGGCCTGCTCGAGCGGACCGGAAGAGGGCCATAGCCGTTTGAAGATGTTTGCAAATGTCAGTAAGATGTGAGCAGGAGGCTTCTATTCACCAAAACATGTCAACCTCAACGGTGACTGACATAGAGAGAACCTTTTCCAAGGTCTGAATTAACAGTACTTGATTAGGTGGACATCAACGCGAATTCACACAAGTGACGCAAGGAACCACATGAAAATCGGCGTGAACTGTCACTACAGCTACACTGGACAAGAAACACAGCAATGGTGTAAAAAGAACTGAGCCACAACCAATCATACTTTTTGTTAAGGCACCAATCGATCTATTTTCAACCCTCATGAACTTGCAGGGCACCAGACCAAATTACTCACGGTGTGCGGAAGCTTTCCAGAACTTCTGTACGTCGAATGCTAACCAACTTCACATGCAGACTAGTTACTGAATGTTTATGTGCCAGGCAAAAGGGAGGATAACCCTCCGTAGTATATTGATCTCGGATGTTAGAATGACATACCACTGGCACTGTTGGACACGAAGAACAACCATCCGTGTGTAACCATGACGGATGTTTCTGTTCACACCGAAAAACATTTGTCAATAAGCTTTGCCGAACAGTCAGCGCAACAGAGGCTTTACTGAGTTGACCAGCCTTATGTGGAGGTCACGTGGCAGAGGACTGGTCTGTTCATGTTCTCTTTGCCGGTCTTTTGTTCCCGATAACCCCATTACATTCAGTGTTTAGCTGAATCTATGACCAGTTACGGTGCCAGATTGAGAGCCCAACAGTTGGGGGTCGAGTTAGTCGACCGAGACATTTACCGGGTCGTTGTTCGAGGCCGATTTGGCGTGAAGACATCTGCGTGTTCAGCTGTGAAAACTCAGATCTGTCAAGCATGCGTAGGTAGACTAGTGCTGAAAGGAAGAAGACCTTTGCTGCGGAGTTATTTATTAGAAAATGCCAACTGACTAGTTGCAGACTATTGGACAGGGAAGCAACACTCTCATTTGCATCTCTTTTACAAAAAGTGAACACCCATCTTCTCTTAAACGCGTCTTCTTGAAATTTCCTGGATATTCATAGACTCAAATCATTCCTTGTTCAAATCCAAGCAAGTGCTACAAAGCGACTCTACAAATTTAGCAATAGATCTCCGTTTTCAAGAGACGCAAAGCGAACTTACAAGAAGAAAATATACTACCTGCATGCCTCCCCATCAGTAGCATCACCATTACTGTGATAGCATGCTTATCTTGCTTGTCAGTTGTCCGGAGTTCGAACCTCGACAAGACTAAGGATATGCCCTGATTATGACATTAATAGGAACGATAATCTATCGCAGTGCTCTACTCGTGGTTTGGACTCACCACAGAAACTGCGCCAGTACAAGAGAACAGTTCAAACGAGAGTGATGTGAATGTGAAATGAAACGGTCATTTTTTAACATTGTTCCTCTAACCAGACTGATTCGGTAGTGATCATTTGGATACAAGCATAAAATCCTTTCTGTAATAAGAAGGGTTGCGACTTGACTCGCTTACTTTGAACTTGGACGCGACCTCGTCTGATCGCGGAAACTATGCAACGCCAACAAGTGTTCATACAGTGGACAGGCATTGGTGAGGAGTCCTTGGGTTATCCCAGAAACATTCTAATGTTTTTTGGAGTAGTTTTGTATGGAATTGGCCTGAGAATGTACCAGTTTGCCCTAAAACCTGTCTTTGCCATGACACGCAGGAGTGATGTAGTAACATGAACAAAGTACAAAGACCCGAAGGTTTTTTTCTCTCATCCAATAGCCCCATTCATTGTCAAACCCTATTGTTACATTTATCCATGGCTTGGTGCCGACAGGCAGTCCTGTATCCTGACCACAGAGAAATGTTAGATTTCACAAAAAGTGGGCTGTCGAAGAGTTTTCAGCAACCTTGTGAGTAGTTTCCTTTATGAAAATATACTGCGATATCTCGAATATCGTGCCAAATAAAACATGGGACGGTCTGTGTGCAGCACATTCAGTTGAAGAACATCATAAACGAGAGATTCAGTTGAGTCACTTGTGAAAACCAAATTGATTTGCAAATGAGTGTATTTCACAAAAAGTGGTTTGACCAGCAATAACCAGTGTGCTCGGTGATTGTTTGCCCGACAGGTTCCTTGTTGAAAGAATTCCGTGAAATCACAATCAGGGTTTTCTTTTTTGAAATATTTTTACCTGGTTAGCAACCCACCTACTACAGCCTCTTCCAAACTAAACTCTGTCAAACTGCTCTAATAAAGTCCTCAAAGGGCCGGAGTCTCACTGGTTGAGCTAAGTGAACAAGTTCAGACAGACTAACGTGCTAGTAGAGCCCAATAGAGGATGGATGTAAGAAAGACACCTCTTGAAAACCTCATTGGCAATGTGTTCCTGCAGCAAAATATACCGATGTGTCTTGAATGTCGCCCCAGTTGAAGCATGAGACTGCCTTTGTGCAACATATTTAAGTGAAGAATTGAATAAATTATACATCCAGTTTGGATTTAGTTGAGCCTACCGTCAGCACCCATTCGATTTACAGACGCTTCATTCTGCTTGCTTGAATGGCTGCCGCGCTCATCATTACCGACAGAATTTCTCGTCGAAGAGTAGCGATCCCAAACATCTCTTTACAAAATCCCAAATATATTACAAAAAGTCTAACAGACTGTTATGAACGTGTTGTATTTCTTTACCCGAGGTGACTTCGTTTTTTTAATAAAAAATCAGTCAGCATTCACAAGGGTTACTGTGGCTAGGATGGCAGACAGTCCAGTGGAATTCGCTGACGGCAGATCTCGCCACTCAAACTAGATGCGATCGTCTGGGTGTGTCGAGATGGTTGGACTCGCTCTTTCAACTCCCCCCCCCCCTCCCTGTCACACCCAAGATGACTCATTGGATAGAGTGCAGACAGACATCTCGAGATGGCTCGACACTTCGCGTGCAAGCCCAATGAGCTTCAGCAATAAATTGCGTGAGAAAATGAAGCTACAATGCGTATTTACCATAATTCGACCGAGTTTCGCTGTTCATTACGAACCTCACAACTGTAAACAGAATGATGCGTACTTGCTATTTCTAGGTGACTGGGATAGGGCAGTATACGATACGAGGCATGTATGGACATTTTGACTAGTGACAACCGCCACAAGGGATTAGTGTGTCCCTTGGTCAGCATACCGAAACAGCCACTACGGTGGAGTCGAATGTCCACGAGGCGTACTCACCTGCCCACGCATTCGAGCGGAATGCGTTGACATTCAACAGACCACTGAGGCAGTCGTTAACACAACCTGTTCGCGTTAGTTATATCATAATTGACTCTTACTGTTTGTTTGGTAGAATGGCTGATTTGGAAATTTCCCTGGGGATTACCAATAACTGAGCAGTCAGTAAATCAGTAATAATACCCACATGTCCCCTCCGCATATTATCATAATTAACCAGAAATATTACGACATATATGCTCATCAGTTTTTCAAATTTTGATTTCCAAAATCCTTAGCTTTGGCTATCCCGTCTGAAAGTCACTTAGCTGAATCTGTCGATCAAACACCTCATCCATAATTAACCCGTCTGGAGGTATTTTGCATGCTTCGGGTATTAGTTTTTTCCCAAATCAACCGATCAAATAGCGCAGCCACGAGTCTCCTGTTTGAAAGTATTTCGCATGTTTCTAGAATTAGTTTTGGCGAAATCTGAATACCATGAGAAGTTTTAACAAGGCGAAATTTATTAGACCTTCAGCGTACTGAGTTCAGCTCAGATGTTTAGGGGAGAACATCGATGTCGTGCTGAAATGCGAGGCAATATGAGTCCAGTGTCCGCTCTGGGATTTGCCTGCGACATCAGACCAATGTAGCACCAAACAGGTTCACCTGGCAACGTCTGTGAAGGAGTCCCTCAAGCGGCAAGTTGATAGATGTCTGTTTATCGTGTCTGCCTATGCCCCAACTGATTGTAGCTCTGACGCCGTCAAAGACAGGCTTTACGACGCCCTGAATGCTCTGCTGCGGCGAGCTAAAAGCTCAGACATTGTGGTGGTTGCCGGAGATATGAATGCGCAAGTGGGAAGGCTCAGTGCATCTGAGACTCAGTTGGGAAGTCGATATAGACTGGATTCGGTACGTACGGGCAATCGGGAACGATTGTTGATCGCAGGCTGTTTTTATGCAGTACTAACTTACGAAATAGCCGAGGTCGTCTGGCCACTTGGTGTCCTCCAACAACAGGCCGGCCACAAACTCAAATCGACCACGTTGCCATCAGTTACCCATGGCGCGGATCCATAACTGACTGCCGGTCGTTTTGGAACACATTTGTGGACTCTGACCACGCGCTCGTCCGGAGTCGCTTCAC